GGATAAACGGACCGAGATGGCAAAACGGCAGGTCTTGGCTCTGGAAGACGCGAGGCAACGGAGGCTCTGTGTGTGGCGAGGGAAGAGAATTCTGCTGTTTTCTCGGCAGGACGAGGCCACAGTGCTGTGATGGTAGGGAGACATTTTGCCGAGGCCATTTGCTTCAATGCCATGCCAAGGGCGGAATCGCATCTGGCGATTTCCCGTAGTCTTGGAAGCTGACCATCTCATTCCCGACGATCAGGTAGTGAGACCATTCGGCGAAGACGATGGAGGTTAGGGTGTCGAACGGGAAAGGCCATTTCCTAGCGTCTGGGTGCGGCAGGGTTGGGATTGGCCTTGGCTGGTTGTTGGTGTAACGAAGCAGCTACGAGACGGTGAGCCCGGCCGCCCGAACAGAGCCTCCCGAGAAGGTGATGTGCGTGCATGAGGATAGCAATGGCCTCACAGAAGACATAGAAGGAACTCGCTGTCACAGGAAGGTCCGGCCCCGTCACGGATCTTGAGGAAGGCCCGATGCCTCACCCGTCACTGCCTGAGGTAGGTGCACCTTCCTTGAGTTCCTGCCTCCTCCAGCCATGTCTCACTGCCCAGCTCTTTCCCTCTCGCAGTTGAGACTTTTACGTATCCATGGGCAGCCCAGCCGGTCCGGACGAGCAGTTGCCCGGACCGTCTCACCTGGCCGTCTCCTCGCTCTCACCTTGCCCGGCGCGTTCACCGTCCACCGCTCACCGTCCAGCACCGTAAAGGCCCTAGCGTCGCCGTAACGGCCAGGCACCCCCAACACAACACCCGCTTCATCCGACCACGACAGGCTGCCCCCGATGCACGCAACACGGCAGAGAGTCTATCAAAGCAGCACTTCTCCATCTAGAGAAAACGAATGGGCAAGAAGGACAAGTGTAATGACGCGGTCAAGAAGCAAAAGTCAGCTGCGTGGGGCGTAAGGTGACGTCGGCTACATGTCGGTGGGCGCCATGGCCGCAGTCGAGTCGCTTTCAGAAAATCAGACCACCTTTTTTCCCTCTGCCTCCCCACGCAGAACCACCCAGAGATCAACCTTCAACAGCCAAAGATATGCACCGAAAACCCAAAAATTCCTCAGCTCACCTGCAGTTTCACCTAGTCACCTCTCCAGAAACCCCGGCCCCGGCCTGTCATAGGCACTTTCCGGAGTGCCCAGAAAATGCTACCACCTCCAGCACCACCGGCACCACTTCCATCCACGACTCCAGGATTGCAATGGGCCATGTCACCACGTCCATGGACCACCTCCACGTTGCCAACCCGTTGGACTCTCTCTCCAGGCCCAACGACACGTTCCAGAAACGCTCGAATGCCCGTCTCGATGGCTACGTACCTGTCCCGTACTTTCGTAAACCCCTTGCTCGCCTCTCCTGTCTCCAACGTCTGCAACCTTCGCCTGCCACCCTGGTCAGGTCCGTCAACATCGGCTGATAGCTCCCGGACCTGCGTTGCGCTGCTTGCCGCCTGCTTCCCACCCGAGATCAGCACCATGAGTGTAAGCATCAGTTCCAAACCTGGGCTGAGCTGCCAACCCGCCAACGGCTTCTGGGCAAAGCGGCCGCAACTCGTCCACGTCCTTGTTTCTCCTCCGGCATCTTGACCTTTGATCAAGAGGTATAAAGACCAAGCCCTCTCAATCCACGTCCTTCTTCTTGCCTCTTTTCCAATCCACCACCTCTAAGGCATCTTGGCCTGAACATACACTCTTCTACACCATCACTTACACACCACCTCCACAATGACAGACACGGAGGTCGAGTCCATTAGCCCGTATGGCCCAGCCCGGTCAACCGTCAAGGGCGAGCCTCTTTCTCAGGAGGAGATTGAGAAGTACAATGACTTCTGGAAGGCTAGCTTGTACCTGTCTCTGGGTATGATCTACCTAAAGGAGAACCCTCTCCTTAAGGAGCCCCTCAAGATTGAGCACTTGAAGCTGAGGTTACTCGGCCACTTCGGTTCTGCTCCGGGCCAGATCTTCACCTGGATGCACTTCAACCGCCTCATCAAGAAGTACGATCTCGATTCCATCTTCATCTCCGGCCCCGGCCACGGCGCTCCGGCCGTTCTCTCCCAGTCCTACCTCGAGGGTGTCTACTCCGAGGTCTACCCAGAAAAGTCGGAAGACGAGGAGGGCATGCAGAAGTTCTTCAAGTCCTTCTCATTCCCCGGCGGCATTGGCTCTCATGCTACCCCGGAGACCCCAGGCTCCATCCACGAGGGTGGAGAGCTCGGCTACTCCGTTTCCCACGCCTTTGGCGCCGTCTACGATCACCCCGACCTCATCGCTCTGACCATGGTCGGCGACGGTGAGGCTGAGACCGGTCCCCTGGCCACTGCCTGGCACAGCACAAAGTTCCTCAACCCCATTGTCGACGGGGCTGTTCTCCCCGTTCTGCATCTCAATGGCTACAAGATCAACAACCCCACCATCCTGGCCAGAATTTCACACAAGGAGCTCGAAAACCTGTTCCTCGGCTACGGCTGGCAGCCATACTTCGTCGAGGGTGACGATGTCAACACCATGCACCAGGCCATGGCCGCCACTCTGGAGCACTGCGTTCTCGAGATTCGCAAGTACCAGAAGCAGGCCCGCGATTCCGGCAAGGCCTTCCGCCCCAAGTGGCCCTTGATCGTGCTCCGCAGCCCCAAGGGCTGGACCGGTCCCCGCAAGATTGACAACAACTACATGGAGGGTTACTGGAGAGCCCATCAGGTTCCTATCCCCAACGTCGCTTCCAACCCTGAGCACCTCCAGATCTTGGAGAAGTGGATGCGCAGCTACGAGCCTGAGCGCATCTTCAAGGATGGCAAGATCTCCGACGAGCTCAAGGCCCTCTGCCCCACAGGCCAGCGCCGTATGAGTGCCAACCCTGTTGCCAACGGAGGAGTTCTCAGGAAGCCGCTGAAGCTTCCCGACTTCAAGAACTACTCCATCAAGGTCGACAAGGCCGGTGCTACCAACGCTGCTAGCATGAACAACATGGCTACTTACCTTAAGGATGTTATCGCTCTCAATCAGACCAGTTTCCGTCTCTTCGGCCCTGACGAGACCGAGTCCAACAAGCTTGGAAAGGTCTATGAGGCTGGCCAGAAGGTCTGGATGGGCGAGTACTTTGAGGAAGATGCCAACGGCGGCAACCTTGCTCCTGAGGGTCGTGTTATGGAGATGCTTTCCGAGCACACCTGCGAGGGTTGGCTCGAGGGCTACATCCTGACTGGCCGTCACGGTCTGCTCAACAGCTACGAGCCATTCAGTAAGTCTTTGCCCCATAGAATTCAACAACAACAAACTGACTCTTGCAGTTCACGTCATCGACTCCATGGTCAACCAGCACTGCAAGTGGATCGAGAAGGCTCTCGAGGTCGAATGGCGCAACAAGATCGCCTCCCTCAACATCCTCCTGACCGCCGTCGTTTGGCGCCAGGACCACAACGGCTTCACCCACCAGGATCCAGGTTTCCTCGACGTCGTTGCCAACAAGAGCCCCGAGGTCGTTCGCATCTACCTTCCTCCCGACGGCAACTGCCTCCTGTCCACCATGGACCACTGTCTCGCCTCATCCAACTATGTCAACGTCATCGTTGCCGACAAGCAAGAGCATTTGCAATATCTTTCCATGGAGAAGGCCGTCGAGCACTGCACCAAGGGCATCGGAATCTGGCCCCATTTCTCCACCGACCAAGGCGAAGAACCCGATCTCGTCATGGCCTCTTGCGGAGACATCTCGACCCACGAGTCCCTCGCCGCCATCGACCTGCTCCTCCAGCACTTCCCCGAGCTCAAGATCCGCTGCGTCAACTGCGTCGACCTCTTCAAGCTCATCTCCCACGAGGACCATCCCCACGGCCTCACCAACGCCGAGTGGGTCTCGCTCTTCACCGACGACAAGCCCGTCATCTTCAACTTCCACTCCTACCCCTGGCTCGTCCACCGCCTCACCTACAAGCGCCCCGGATCCATCAATATGCACGTCCGCGGCTACAAGGAGAAGGGCAACATCGACACGCCCCTCGAGCTCGCCATTCGCAACCAGACGGACCGCTTCTCCCTCGCCATGGACGCCATCGACCGCATGCCCCATCTGCACAACCGAGGCTCCGCCGCCCGCGAGACGCTGCGCAACCAGCAGATCGCCGCTCGCAACGAGGCCTTCGAGACGGGCATGGACCCCCCGTTCCTCAAGAACTGGCAGTGGTCTCACAACGGCCTGTGGGAGAAGACTGTTTCTAGAATCGCCAACTAGACTGGTCGTCACATAGACTCGGAAGGACAAGCACGCACGTATAGAGTAGATGAGAGAGATGATTCACGCGGGTTTTCATGATTTTGGCGTTGGGACGGGTTCAATTGAGGCTCTGGATTGAAGGTCGACGCGGTTGGTGATGTACGTGCTCCAAACACATTCATACAGTTCTGTTAGATAACCCTGCACACATTTTCAATACATATACCATGGACAGCAGCATGCAGCAAGCACAGTGACAACAACTCTTGTAAAAAGTGATCTCTTGTCTTCGTACAGCCCAAAACTAACGGGACCAAAAACAGACCTGGTATCTAAGCAAAGCCACGATTACAAGAAATGCTATGAGTGAACGAGAAAAAGGAAAAGGTTTCTGAATGCAGCGTTAGAGCGCGCTCGCGCGCTCGAGAGGGGGGCGAAATGAAAAACGACTCCAGACGCCTTGATGTCTGTACAAACTCTCGCAACTAAAGCACAGACGGGGAACATGGCTGCAAAGCTGCATGCCAGACGCACGTTTGCATGCGTTGCGTTCATCTGAAGAGACGAACCTCCGTTACCCCGCAAAAAAAGAACAGCTCGAACGCAAGGAATCTCAAAAGAAGTTGCCACCCGTCCCCCCTTTTTCGTACAACGTGGGCGTATCGTGATAATCGTTCCTCTACCTTAGAATGCAGCGCTCCAACCACCATGCTCGTCGGCCCGAGACCACCGGCGACCGCGCGGCGCTCACCAACATCTCAACTTCCTCCATATCGACGGTCCCTTGATCTTGCCACCCTCCAAGTTCGGGCCCCGTACGCCCGGGCCGCGCTTCTCGTTCTCGCTGCCCGCGGGCAGGGGGCTCAGCGGCTTCGTCATGCCCCGGCGGTCCATCTCCATGTTCTCGTGGACGCCCGTCTCGGCCATCCGCCTCGCCTCCACGACCCTCCGGACAATCAGCGCAAACGTCTCCTCAATGTTGACCTCGAGCCGCGCGCTCGTCTCCATGAATCCGCAGCCCCTCCTCCTGGCCCAGTCCAGTCCGACGGCGGCGGGCACCGCGCGGGATTCTTGCAAATCGCACTTGTTTCCGGCAACGATCTTGACGGGCGGGACGGTCTTAGCGCCGGGCGCCGCGGTGACGGTGTCGCGGTACGACGAGGGGGAGATGCCCGCGCGCTTGGCGCGGTCGGCGTTGTCGAGGCGTGTCTCGGCCTCCATGTCGATGAGGTCGTTGAAGTACTGCAGAGCATCGAGAGAGTCGCGAGCCGTGATATCGTAGACGAGCAGGAAGGCGTCGGCGCCGAGGTTGGAGGACGCCCACATGCCGCGGTACTCCTCTTGGCCGGCGGTATCTGTGAGGGAGAGGTGGTAGTTTTGGCCGTCGATCTTGCGGGTGATGGAGTACGAGTCCTCGATCGTGGGGTCGTATTCGGAGGTCCATTGGGAGCGCACGAGGCGGAGGGTTATGGAGGACTTTCCACAACCGCCATCGCCGCAGATTGTGATCGAGATTGGTATCGGGGGTTGTTGAGAGATTGACATTTTGGAGAATGTGGATTTCCGGGGAAAGAGGGTTCCCGGCAGAAATTAAAGGTTTTGTCGTTACTTGTTCGGGCGCGTGTAGCAGGTTTGCGACAGTTCGATGCGTCGATCGCGGCGGGTCTTTATTTGTGTGTTTGGAGGTGTCGCTGGTGTCGCAGGGCTGAACGTTGCGAGACAAAGGAGCCCCAAGAAATCAAGCTTTCGCGAGAAAGACTGAAAAAAGTTTGGGGAAGCAAGACGCGGCAGACGCCAGGTATTAGACAAGAAAAAGAGCTTGGTGTCTTTTTTCGAGGGCGGGCTAGGTAAATCGGACGGCCGGGCTATGGTAGTCTTAGCTTCGTTTCGGCTCTCAGACCGCGCGCGCGAGCGGTTCGACCGTTTTCCTTGCTTCTTTCAGCTAGGAAGCGTGAGAAGGGAGTGGAAGAAAATCAGCGCGGCGTCTGGATGCTGGACGAATTGGGCTTCGTTTGTTTGGAGGGGTGATTTTCCCTTTTGTTGGCGTTGCGGTGGGGGAAGGGAAACAAATATCTGGGCGTGCGTCTGTGTGGCGTCTAGCTGTGATGCTGTCGGGGGTGGTTGTGGTTTGGCGCCGGGAGTTGGGGATTGTCCGTATTACACTGGATACGACGATTGTGATGATGCGGGCAGCGTTCGTGCGGGCGTCGATCTGCTTGCTTTTCGTCACGAAACGGGACGTTCAGGTTTGTCGGTTTGTGAGGTTGATGCAGCGCAATGCGGTCGACAGGTGACAGTTGTTGTTGCGGTGGTGGTGGTGGTGGGAGTGCCTCCAGGCAAGGTATGTCGCCAGCCTGTGAGATGCAGGTGAGGGCAGATTGCGGGAATCTGAGGTATGACGAAGGGTGCTGTTGGTTGCGCAAGATGGCGGGCGATTGCTAGTGGGCAGGTGGACTTGGGCTAAGGCAGGCCGGCGCAGGGAAGGAGGGGGGATGCGCTTGCTTTTTGATCCCGTATGTCGGTCGGTGGTGCTGACTGCGGACCGGCTCCTTCTATTTTGGTAGTTGGGTAGGTTGCGTGTTGCGTTGCGTTGCGTTGCTCTTCGGTTCGATGCGGCGAACTTGAGTGATGGATTGTCCGAGGTTTGGGGGCGGGAAGGCAAAAAAGCAATAAAAAGAAAAGGGTCAATACTGCGGTTCCCGGTCGAGAAAGGCAGGCGCAGACGTCAACGCAGGAAGACGAGGAGCAAGGTAAAAATAAGAACAACACGACAGAGGCAAGGAGGGTGCAGGTGCAAAAGCAATGCTGGACCAAACAATGCGCAGAAGCTGCCCTTTTTGCAAGTCCTTCGTCCGTGTGTTGGATGCTCGAGCGCAAGAAAGCACCCCGTTCTGTTATCGGGATGAAGCCGGTCAATCCAAGTATCCCCAGCTCCTGCTTGTGTTTGGCTGCGACTCGGACTGCTGCGCGGCTCTGTCTCGGCGCTGGGAGGGGACCGTTTGTGGAGGGAGGGGCGAAGCTTCAGGAGGGGAGCTCCTTGCTTGCTTTGGCGGTCCTTTCTGCTGCAGTTCCGACGAGATGGACTGGCTTGGCTGGGGTTTGTGTCCAAGTACTGATAAAGCTTGGTAGCGTTGCAGGTAGTGAGTGTTGTGTTGTGTTGTGGAGTCGACACGGCCCCGCGCTGTTTGTGTGTGGTTGTGACTGATAGCTGTGCAAGATGTCGGGATCGCTGTTTGAAAAAAATGTTCATCAACAGATATGACGAAGGGGCGACTTCATGTATGAAAATCCTTGGTGGACGCACAAGCAGACGTGCAAATTTGCAGTGCCCTGTGCTGTTCTTTGCCCCTTTCTTCCCGTGTACAAACTTTCGTATACTCGTCTGGCAATAATTCGACTCATCGATTTTTTTTCTTCCTCGCTCCTGTGCTTCCAATGTTTCCACCAGGCAGAATGGGGGGGAGATGGCTTCTTTGCTGTTTCTGGAGATGTCGTCCCGAGACTTCAGGGTGTTGCTGCGTGCGCTCGGCCGGGATCGTGTCGGTGCGCAAAGTGGTGCAGACTGGGGGGTTTAATGAGATTGGGACCGATTCAGTTGATTACATGTGTTTGGGTATGGATCTGAGAGCGCAGCAGAGTCAGAGCCCAGAGCCTCCTACCTGTTTTGACCGCCCGATATCGAGAAATGAGGCGTGGGTAGTGGATCTATGTGCAATTCAATATCTGCAGCAAAAAGAAAGCCTCCAGGGACTGGGGGTGAACTCTGTCGGTGAAGGAAGAGAAAGCAAGAAGCAACAGAGACATCTTCATCCCCTTTTTTGCACTTCTAGTTGCAGACTTTCGTTCCTCTCAATCCCAGCCCCCCTTCTTCAAACTCAACAACTCGGATGAATGGTTGCAAAGTCGATAGAAACCTTGTCGCTTACGTGCAGTCCTATGTGGATGGATCATTGTTAGCTCAACTGTATTATCACTCGCAGCCACCTTTATTTTTTCGGCCCAAAAACCGCCACGCCGCTCCTAGTTCATTCGCTCGCTGGCCCAAGGCCCAATGCAAACTGCTCTCCCCAGCCTGCCCGTTTGCTGCTTGGAGTCGTTGGTGGCCCGTCCCTGAACGCGGCAGGTGATCGTCCCTCAAGGCCCAGGAACCAGGCACCGCACGAGGGGAAACAAACAAAACCGTTGATGATTTTCTCCCGAGGCGTTTAGCTCGCTGAAACCTTGCGATCCTTCTTAGGCATGGCGCTGGTTGGCCATTGATGCCTTACAGCAACGTCGCTATCGTGCGATTTTCCGCAAATAAAGTTGCTTGGAGTTTTGAGCCTGGTCATGGATGCCCAGTGTTCGACCCTCCCCAGAATCTGTCATTCACGCAGAACAAGCATATCTCGTCCCCTCGGCCGATGTCTCGCCATCCCACCACAAAAATGCAACAAGCTCCGACGAATCGATGCTGCAGGGCTGCATGCAGGGAGACGAACACCACCACCGACCTTCCCCCCAAAGTGGCGTAGGCCCAGGAGGCAAAGGAAACCTGCGAGTTCCGGTATGACGGAAACTTGATGACGCTTTTGCTGTCGCATCGTCTTGGCCTCGATTCCCCGGCTCCATGGCAGATGGACATGCGTGTTTACCCATTTCGAGACGCTTCCCTCTCCTCTTCTGGTATCTTCTGTGCCTGGTTCCTGAACTCCCGTGCCGTGTACCACGTGTGCCACCAGGATGCAAAGTGCTGCACACCCAATCATGCGAAATCGTGTGTCGGTTTGTCGACGGCGGTCCCTGTACGCCACCGCGTCAATGGTACAGCTCGAAGTCGGCCCGCTAGCTTCCTCCTTGGTCTGCTTGCGCGACGGATTGCACCGAGTCGCGGCAGTCAGGCAAGCGCATCCGCGGGAAGGCGGCTGCATGCAAGTCCTCAGGGCCCCGTCGCGCAGCTTAGATGCAGCCCTGCTGCGTGCATGCATGAGGTCCGTCGACGATGTTTGCTCACAGTCCAATTGCCTCGGTTGCACATCAACAGCGTGGTCAGCACACTCCATGACGATGTGCCTGTTTCAAGCCTTTGTCAGATGCCATGCCACCTGCATTGATCACACTTATGCCCGGCACTTCGTCCCTACTCCAAGGGTCTCCAGCTCGTGGCAATCCGTGAAACATTCCCCGTGATATCTAAAACTCATATCGTCTGTCAATTGCAGGTTCATGCTCCATCGCCGCACCGGGCGCCACCCCTTCGAGAAGCAGGCAAATGCCGGCGGTGATTTGCCATGCGGAGCCGTCTCCGGTTTAATCACAGCCGGGAGATGGCGAGTCCACCGCTCGGCCTTCGAATAGACGCGCACGGACGGGCTGTGAGTCTAGCAGATTCGCTTCGTCGGGATCTGCCATGCGCTGCCATGATAGATGCAGGAAGTGAGTGCCATGTGGCATGTTGACGACTGACGGGCAGAGTTTTCGCGGTCATCTGCGGGCGAGCAGATCAACGAGATTCAATGAGATTGTCGAGACAAGGAGGAAACTTCGATGCAGGGGTGAGAGAACGTTGCGGTGAGAGCTAGGCTCCGAGGCCAGGTACATTGCCCTTTTGTCAGAAACCAGCCCCTTCGCTTCCCCAGGCCTGCAAACGTGTCATTGGGGGCGGCAAACAAAGCCCATCAACAAGGACGTGTCGTTCCATTCTGAGCTGGACTCAGGCGATGGTTATATGTCGCTTGCTGCGTATATTGGTGACAAAAACCTGGTGTTGACTGATGGACTCGGTGGGTGACAGAACATGATAAACTGATCTTGGGCCAGAGCTCATGGTCTTAATGAGGCAGAAAACAACCTTCTTCCAGCGAAATCGGTCCAATCTCTCCCGCAACATGACTGCTAGCGAAGTAACCGGCGTCACTGTGAAACAGGCCTAGACGAGAAGCCAAGGGACGGCGCGGGCGGGATAGCCGGACACGGCCAGGCCCGGCCGCGTGTCTAAGAAGTGCCGCTGCCTGAGTTAGCGGCTGTCGGGTCCGGGTCACACCGGTCTGGGGCCGTGTTGGCGGTTGGAGGGGTTGTCCCCTGTGTTTGCGCAACGCCGAAAATCTTTCTCGGAGTGTCCAAAGGAATGAGAACATGCCGACCTGATAATGCTGTCCAACTGTGATCTTCATGCAGCTGATGAGAAGCGGATTGGCCGAACCACTGCGCCGTCAAATGACGAAAAATCGCCGATGATTATGAAATCCGTCCCCGCGGCGGCCGCGGCGGCTAACCCCGGCCGCAGTCGCGACAAATCGCGCCGATGTGCCGTCATCGGGCAGAGCATCGGCCGTTGAAGAATTTCTTTCCCGTTGCTTATCCTGGCAGGATACTCCAGTATTGAAAGTTTCTCAAGGTTGGATTCGTTCTGTTGATGTTGACTCGCGTCTGGAAGTTTTCATCTATTTGAAAAAACTTTGAGTCGAATATTTTCGTCGGGATTAACTCCGCGACAGATTTTTTGCCAGTTTCATCCGGTCCTGACAACCATCATGAATGGGATCAACGGTAACCATGCTGCCCCGCAGCAACTGCGTCGAGCTGATGAAGTCAACGATGTAAGTGCTCGACTCAAGCAGTACGTTCCTCATGGAAGATGGCCCGGCTGACGATTGCCCCGTGTAGCTGCTTGATGCAGTCAAGGGATTGATTGTCCCGTACATCAGAGCTGCAGATGAAGCCGCGCCACAGAAGGCCGGGGGCAACGCATCAGTAAACATCGACGGAGTTCCAAGCAATGTTCTCGTCGACACTCTGAAGCCCGAGGCGTTGGTCGAGAAGCTGAAGCTATCCCTTCCCGAAGGCGATGGACTCGGGAAAGAGGGCTTGCTCGATGTGGTGCAGAAGATCCTGAGGTACAGCGTCAACACCTGGGACCAAGGCTTCATGGATAAGCTGTATGCAAGCAACACTCCTGTCAGTCCGCTCGCATGAGTGCAGGAGCTTCGCTAACATGCTTAGGTTGGGCTTGTTTCCGATCTTCTCTTGTCGGTACTGAACACCAACGTGAGTCATCCGTCTTTTGCAACCAAACATCCTCTGACCAATGTTAGCTCCACGTTTACCAAGTTTCGCCTGCCTTGAGCATCATCGAAAAGATTACCGCTCGGAAGTTCGCGAACTTATTTGGGTTCACCGGCCCTAGGGCTGGAGGAGTCACATGCCAAGGAGGCAGCGCGTCCAACCTCACTTCCCTGGTAGTAGCTCGCAGTGCTCTGTACCCCGAGACAAAGAAGACTGGCAACGGTTCGTATGATTTTGTCATCCTCACGAGTGCTCACGGCCACTACTCCGTTGAGAAGAGTGCGCTGGCATGCGGTCTTGGGGCGTCAAGCGTCTGGGCGGTGCCTATTGACTCCGATGGCCGCATGATCCCGAGTGCTCTGCGGGAGCAGATCGTTCGTGCCAAGTCTGAGGGCAAGACCCCTCTGTACGTCAACTCCACGGCTGGAACGACAGTGATGGGCTCTTATGACCCGTTCGAGGAGATATCCGCCATCTGCAAAGAGTTTGGCCTGTGGTTCCACATCGATGCCAGCTGGGGAGGATCTGTCATCTTCTCCCAAAAGCAAAAGTCCAAGTTACAAGGCGCTCATCTGGCCGACTCTCTGACGGTGAACCCGCACAAGATGATGAACGTGCCGGTAACGTGCTCGTTCCTCCTGACGCCAGACGAGAAGGTGTTCCACAAGGCCAACACTTTGCCTGCCGGATACCTTTTCCACAATGTGGACGAAAATGGTGACGTCTGGGACCTTGCCGACTTGACCCTGCAGTGCGGCCGCAGGGGCGACAGTCTGAAGCTGGCTCTGGCTTGGATCTACTACGGCGCCGGCGGATTTGAGAAGCAGATCGACCATGCATTCTCGCTGGCCGAGCGTCTGGCTAGTCTGGTTGAAAAGAGCGAGAACTTCGTCCTGGTGTCCAGCAACCCGCCGCCGTGTCTGCAGGTCTGCTTTTACTATGCACCAAACGGTCAGCTTGCGGAAGACCCGAAGACGAACACCAAACGCACCAGCCAAATGGTTCACAAGCTCATCGAGCGTGGCTTCATGATCGATTATGCCCCTGGAGAGAAGGGCAGTTTCTTCCGTGTGGTCGTCAACTGCCAGACGCTGCAGGGGACTGTGGATGGTCTGGTCAAGGCCTTGGAGGAGGTTGGCAAGGAAGTCGTGGTGTAGCGCGTGATGAGTGCATAGATCTGAAACCATTTTGACGAAAACAAAAAGATGGACTGGGTATCAAAAGTTAGGTAGAAATATAGAGATAGACACAAAAAGAGTCGTTGGCCGACAGTTGTTGAGTTCTCGTCTTCCGACATGGGCCGTACAGTGCATCTTGGCTGGCTCGGCCGAGTGACATGCGTCCGAAATTCGACAGGTGAGATAGATAGTCAACTGAGGAGCTTCAATATAAAATCGAAGTGCTGTGAAAAAGTGAAGACGGTAACCAAAGGGAGAGAATTATCACGTTGTCGATGCCAGGAACTTACACTGGAGGCAGGGGCCATGCAGCCGAGAATGATGAGGTGGTGCAGGGGTTAGTGGGGTGAGATAAGATAAGCGATAAGATAGTAAACTGGGACCAAATTTTTCTTCGGCTTGCTCTCCAACACTGAATGCGACAGTCCACTCTCGCTCTGTTCCTCAGCAACCCGATTGGCAATTGCACCGCTCAGCCTCCGTCAAAATGCCTAAGCCGAGAACGAAACGTCAAGCTATTCGCGACGAGCGAAAGAAGAGGAGGAGAGAGACACACGAAGCCAACTACGATGCTAAGGACGAGGAGCGGCAATCGAAGCGCAAACGTACCGAGGACGAGTCGCAAGAACAAGGCGAAGAAGGGGAGCAGCAAGCCTACGACGATGCGGGCGAGCAGCAACAGTCGTTCCCCAGCAATGGCCCGGAGAGGGAATTCTTTGGTATGCTCGCCGACGAAGAGCAGGAGTACTTCCGCCGCGCCGACGAAATGCTCGAATTGAACCAGTTTCCCTCCCCCAAGGATCGCGACATCTTCCTCCAGAGCGTCTACAAGGAGGCACAGGGCAAGGAGCTCAAGCTGGCTAGCAGTCAATCGCTGTCGCGTCTGATGGAGCGGTTGATTCTTCTGTCGAACACCAAGCAGAAGAAGCAAATCTTTAATGCATTTGCGACGCACTTTTTGTCTCTTGTCCAGCACAGATTTGCGAGCCATTGCTGCGAGACGCTGTTCCTGCAGTCTGCACCCGTCGTTACACAAGAGCTGGGAGGCGTTGTCCCTGAGGAGAAGAGCGAGGAAGATACGGAGATGCAGGATGGCGAGGAGCCTGTGGAAGAGAGCACAATGGAGAATCTCTTCCTCATGACCCTGGACGAGTTTGAGCAACACATGGGCTTCCTGCTCACCGACCGATTTGGATCCCACACCCTCAGAGTGCTCCTGGTCGTGCTCTCTGGTCGTCCGCTGGAAGACGCGGCAACCAAGTCATTGTTGAAGAGCAAGAAGAAGGAGCACATCACCGTTCACGGCGCCAATGCCAGCACACAGGATCTCAACACCCAGCTGAGGGCTGTCCCGGAGTCCTTCACTATGGCCACCAAGAAGATCATCCAGGACGCCGTATCTGGTATGGACTTCACATCTCTGCGCGTTCTCGCGAAGCACCCGACAGGAAACCCCCTGCTCCAGCTTCTCCTCGAACTCGACATCTCTCTCAACCACAAGAACGATAAGTCGTCCGCATCAAACCAAGACTCGCTTCTCTACAGACTGCTCCCGGATGCCCCCAAATCTCTCAGCGACACCACCTCCGAAGCTGCAGACTTCGTCAACAGCATGGTGTACGACCAGATTGGCTCCCGTCTTCTCGAGACCCTCATCACCCACTGCCCGGGCAAGATCTTCAAGGCCCTCTCCCACAACTTCTTTGGCGAGCGCATCGCAACCTACGTCCGCAACGACATCGCATCCTACCCCGCCCTCCGCGCTCTCAACCGATTCAGCAAGGACGACCTTGTCGAAGCCGCTAAGAAGATTCTGCCCATCGTGCCAACCCTGGTCACGAAGCACCGCTACAACGTGCTCAAGACTCTCTTCGAGCGTTGCGAGGCCCGCCAGGCTTACGAGGAGAAGGCCGCCCTTACCAAGGCTCTCACGGACGCTCTGGGTGGTAACCCCAAGGACCTAATTCCGAAGCTGTGCCATCTTGTCGAGGAAGAGCCCGAAGAGGAGGAGCAGAAGTTTCAGCAATCCCAAGCGCCGCAGAACAAGACCGCCATCGCCGCGCACGGCGCCCACCTCGCCTCAACGATGTTCAAGACCCCAGGTCAGCCCTCTAAGGTCGCTCAAAAGTCGCTCATGGCCCTCCCCTCCGATCTACTTTACCAACTCGCGACACAATCCATGCCGAAGATGGGCGTCCTCACAACCGCCCTTGCCAGTCCCGCCGCACCCCAGAACGAGTTCTTCCACAAGGCCCTTGTCGGTGCCCTCGCACCCCATGTCGGCGACCTTGCTCAGTCTCAGACCGGCCACAACGTCGTCAACGCCATAGTCGATATTCCCTCCCAAGGCAAGGACCGTTCGGTTCCGCTCCACGTGAAGCAGACCATTATGGCCTCGTTGGCGGAACATGAGCGGACGCTGCGTGAGTCGTGGTTTGGTCGCAGTGTCTGGAGGACGTGGAAGGGTGACATGTGGAAGACGAGACGGTCTGATTGGGTCAAGTGGGCGAAGGGAGCCGAGGGTGAAGGGGAGGAGGTGAAGCTGAAGCCGTGGCAGAGGAGGAACTTGGAGCAGAAAAGGGCACAAGCGGGTAAACCCCAGCCCAAGGAGAAGAAGGAACTGGTGGAGGAGAACGGGGAAGAAAATTAGCCAATGTATGATACCCGGCGTCCAAAACGAATAATATCTGTTCAAATTTACCTTTAAGTCTGTTGGCGTTAGACTTGATTTACAATGAATCTGGCTACCTTCGCAATGATGTGACTCTCACACTCAATCCAGCCAATCTCTTCTAAGCCTTGCAATATAAGATGTCATCGTCGAAACGTAGGTCAGCAATAGGCCTTGAAGACGTCATGGCTGTTCGAGTTCAAAGCTGACCCCTATGTGAAATACGAGCCGCGGTCGTCAGAATGAAACGAGATAGCCATGACACCAAAAATAATGGTGCGCTTCTGTCAATGAATAAGTGCAAGATCACCTGAGAGGACGAGGACGATGTAGGTCCTGGGTTGAGGCAGTCAACCCACGCACGCAGAATCAGGGGGTGGCCAGCTTGACTTTTGAATTGCAAAAGGGTCATTCGAAAGCGCAATTGCCATTTTTTGAGGAATTGCTTTCATTTGTTAGTCGTCCATTTTATAGGCAATCTTGCGCGCACGCAGAGATGTCTCAATGAGCTCTCGGCTTGTAGAAAAGAGTTGACATCGAGACAGATCGACTGTGCTTGTAACTGCGTATATCAAACAAATCTGGCAAAATACTTGCTTGAAAGCTATGTATAACGGATAGCTTATGGTTTCTCCAAGAGTGATATATCGCGAAACCGCCTTCATTCTGTTTTCGGCAATATGTAGTTGTTCATAACTCACCCACGCACAATATCGAACGCTGTCGCCATACTGTTTCCCAAGAGCGTCTCTCCAAGCTACAGTGGTAACTTCCATCGCTATCTATTCATGTAAAAGATCACTGGTGTGTTAGACGTCCCGATTTAGCCTCTGTACTTGGATAGCCTCGGTGTTAAATTGAAGTTAAGTCGACACGCTGTGTAAGCTTGGACGTTTCTTTGTGGTTGTGGACCTACTTATCCATCCCTGGCTAGATTACTCAGGAAAATGCATCCCTTATTTTCAATCTCTGTGCACATAGTGCTCCTCAACTGCCTGTTCAGGAGGTTAATCTGCAGACCATCTTCGATACAAATATCAGCTTGTCAGCGCCCTCACATATCTCCTCAAAATCGGGATGCCCCCTAAGCTTGGTTTCAGGACTTCATACTGTTGTCGTGAACGTTCTTGTCATCTCATGTCTTCGACAGTGGAAAATTCCACTTCCCTCCTACATACCACCCCACCGGCACCCACTGTTAGTGCCGCGCTGGGACTGCCACCCTAGCACTAACACCACCAAACCCACCCCCCACGACCAGAACCCTCGCCCGCGATGGCCTCACAGCCAGCCGCGGGCCC